CACTGCAGCTACATTGATTGGATTGCCCTCCACCCCCAATGACAACAGCATAAGAGATTGGGCAGTACGGATGGAATACTTTGTGAACATTAAGATGGTCTACCTACCAGTTTGAGTATATTTTTATGTTGTTTATGATAGATGTATATAACTGAGTTTGCACTTCACTGGCTTTTTTAAGTCTTGCTCTTTGTATACATTTGTGTAGACTGATCTTGTCTGAAGTATATTCAATAACGTCTAAAGCAATAAGTTGCATGTGCACACAAGGTATTGGTAAATTAGAATAAAGGAAAAGAATGTAGCAGTTTCTTGGATTTTTTCCCCCGTTAAAATGGTGTGTCCTATAATTACTGTATTTAAACAGCTAAATCCAGATATGATAGATGAAGAGAACTTGGTATTCCTTAGCAGCTTTGGAATAAATTATTTATTGGCACTGGAACAAGATAACCCAATTTTTTCTTCTGAGGACATAGTTTTAAAAGTATTCTACTTACACTATTAAAGTCTACGGTGAGATAAATTAAGATGACTCATGCCACACATCCAAGTTGTGCTGCAATAAAAGTTGAATGTAATTAAAAGATAACAGTTGAAGGTTAAGGCTTTTTATATAGAAATATTTGAAAAGTAATCTTTCACCTATACTTTCATATTCTATTTTACATATTATATTGATAAGTGGAATATGATTAAAAGCAGCTATGTTTGATTAAAAAGCCATTTCAACATTTAAGCATTTCATTGCTATATAGTGGTAGCTGAGCAATTTTGGGAAAATACCTTAGAAAGTGCACATTAACCGTTCATCTCTAGTTGGACTCTGTTTCTCTACTCAAGATCTCACATAAACAGTGGCCACCACTTCAGTAGTGTACAGAAGATGCTGTAAATCTCTGTAAGAGCTGGATTGCAAAACGTGAAGTTCCCAAAGCCACACTTAAGTACAGAAAACTTGGCCCAGTTTTTCATGTTTGGGTTTTAAAGACCAAAATGTGTCATCAGCTTACAATATTTAAGAAACCATTTCTGCCATTAAGAACTTTGAATCCCCACTTCTTCAAAACTGAGATCCCCTCATGCAGCCAGGCTAATGCTTTTCATCTCTTCTCCAGTGTGCATAAAGCTATCAGTACTTAGGAAAATTGTTTCCCCCAGTGGCTACTCACAACATTCCATAGATCTTGGATGTAAATGAAGCTGAATTTTTGTTACGCCATTTTTTAATGTTGAATTTGCAACTGCAACTGAACTGTGTTAGTGTACCTGCTGAGATCTCAAGTAAAAGAAAACCATTGATTTTGAATGTTTCCTGGTTCACTTGCAAAATGATAGGAATAAGATCACACAAAAGAAGACCAAGAACAAAATACTACCTAGTATCCCAGCTACTACAACAAATACTTTTGATCATGGGTAAGGAGTAAAAAGGTTTGGAGGAGAGAAAACTACTCTTTTCCTATCATTTCTGAAAAAATATTCTGCAGAAGTTCTGTAATACTTAGAATTATGATGTCACTAAAACAATTGTAATTTTAACAAATTAAAATTGCTGTTGCCACATTGGCAGCAATGTATTCTATACACTAGTAGAACTAAGAATCAGATGCATTACAGTGGAAATTGGGAAATATTTTAATAGTGCCTCAGGCCCAACCTCTATATGACATTAACATGTCTGTTTATATAAACTCAACCCTGCCCTAGCCTAATCATCTATGAAGCTGCTGGCATGAAGTCATTTTAAAAATAACAGGAACATATAGATAATGGGAGCAAAATGCTTCTTCACCACAAGATTCTTCTCTACTATTAGGCTTATCTGAATTGGCATCCATGTTATGGAATAGTAATCTACAGTACTGTGTGATGAGTTTCACATGTGACAAGTTTATTTAATAAAGGTTTGTTCAATAAGCCATGATTGTCTGGGTTCAAACAACATGCTGAGCCATAAACTGTGGTACAAACCATGATTGATTCATGCAACATGCCAAATTGAAAATAAACCACATTATGTTTTAAGATGATACATTAACTCAGTCACAATGTATGTGTCTTACTTTAATGTTTGACAGTTAAGGTCTGTCACTGGCATGCCTTTTTGCTTTAAAACTAAGGACTATCATGTCCAGCTTTACACAGAATAAGAGAAGATCCAGATATAAACAAATATACCAGCTGTCATCACATGTATTCTCTGCCATTTGAAAAAAAAGCTGCCCAGAGTCACTTGTTTGGTGAGATGGGCGGCCATATAAATTTGACGAATGAATGAATGAATGCTTAAGGACAAATTATATATTTGTAATATGTATTACAAAAGTTATCGAACATATCTAGAGATAATTTTAATAAAATTAAACAATGCCTTATAAATGGTGTCACTAGTGAGATTAACAGAGCAAATCCACTCAAAAGGTAAAAAAAAAAAAAATTAAACCTGAATCTATTTGAAGGCCTTATATTGTAGTTTAAATAATTTATAGGTAACATGTTTGCATGTTTTTTTTTTCAATAGCATAATGTAAGGTAGCTTTCCTGAACCTTGCACATTTCAGGTGTGTTAAAAGTACAGTCACCACAATAATAGCAACCAATTAAAATTCATAGAATTGAAATGATTAAAAGTATCATTAACAACCAGAACTAAAGTAAGAGCATGAAGAAATGGTATCGATTTTGAGATTCAGTAGGGCTGTGAAACATTATTATTATGGTTGGTTGCACAGTCAACCAGATGTTTAGACTGGATTTGGCATTTTTATCCACTTCTCTGGGATAGGCAGAAGTTTGATGGTGTTAAAGGTATCATCGCAGGATATAAGCTGCTCCAAGTAAAGCTGCCTTTTGCAATTGACTGATGGTGAT